GTACAATTGTACCAAAAAAGTGGTCACTTAAGGACTTCCATGTTTCCACTGAGGTGTTACTGTGTGGAGTTGTCATGTTTAAGTTTGTATTACTATTTCTCTGACTCTGAAATGTAGAAGAGGAAATAAATTGTTGGCTGGTTGGAGTTGGACTAGGCATGTGTGCTCTTTGTAAACCAAATGCTTGGGAGTCTGGACGGCCCCTTTATATAGGTTTAAGCCCCGCCCACGTTCGGCTGCAGCCACTGTGACGTCATCCACTTTCCTTTGAAGTTGAACCTTCAAAGGTTTGGGGGCGGGGTTTAAGCTAATCTCTGACACAGCTGCATGACATTTAAATGGCATAAACTATTAATTAGCGTGGGTGGTGATTGTTCTTTTACTTTTCATATTCCGTATTTTTTTTCGCATCTATCTCCGTTCAACTTAGAAAAACCATTCAACCACCGTTAGATTCCTCTTCTTTTGGACATGACTGCTTGTATTTTTCTCATTTTTAACTTTTATATTTTTTTAAATTATTCAACTTCCTTCAACAAATATTTATGATGTATTTCAGTGGTGAAACCCTTCAAATCCTCATTCAAGTTACTCCCCTTTCAATTGTATCTACCTTCACATACGTTGACCTAGAACCACCATTCAAACTTTAAAACAAAGCCAAGACATTGAACTATTCAACTGGTATTTATCTTTTCAATATTGTTTATACTTTTTCTTCAGCTCTACTTTAAGTTTCATGCCTTTTTTTCACCTGTTTCAGAGTTTATAATGGTTGTGTGTGGGACGGAATGTTGGAGGAGACAGGTCAACTGCTAGAGTGGGAGCAGGGGGAAAATTTATCTTAAAATCTTCTCTTTAAACTGCTGCTATGAACACAGTGTTTGCTCTACAGCCATCATTTTACCGTCAAAACGTAGCCATCGTTGTCCTCTTTCATCCAATGTTATTATTATTGTAATAGATGTTATGGTTCTTTCAGAAATTTCACCAATGCACACCCTCCTCGCTGCAACTTTTCCAAAGAAACCAATGTTAAAATGGCTCCCAAAATTCATCTGAAAATCAGAAGAACAGGCTGTCTTTACGCTGTCACTACATTCATAACAATCATATGACCCCCTATGAGCAAGCCCTTTGGTGACAGTGGGAAGGAAAAACTCCCTTTTAACAGGAAGAAACCTCCAGCAGAACCAGGCTCAGGGAGGGGCGGCCATCTGCTGCGACCGGTTGGGGTGAGAGAAGGAAGATGGAATAAAGGACATGCTGTGGAAGAGAGCCAGAGATTAATAACAAGTATGACTCAGCAGAGAGGTCTATTAACACATGTTGAATGAGAAAGTTGACTGGAGAGGAAATACTCAGTGCATCATGGGAATCCTCCAGCAGCCTATACCTATTGTAACATTCCTGTGGTGACATTTTTTTTCAACCAGGTGGTTCATGAGCCTATTATTTTAAACTAGTCTGGTTTTAACCTTTACAACAAATAATTCTAATTAAAAATGTTATCCACTTAGGCTATGTCCACATGTACCCAGGTATTTTTGAAAACGCAACTTTCACACTGACTTCTTCAGTGTTCTTTAAGGACATTTTAAGGTTTTGGGACAAAATTTTAGCCCAAATCCTGTGGGTAAACCTGTTCGTAATGGCTTTATCTGCCCCTGGAGGCAATTTCCTTGCCTCTTTTATTTTGCTTATAGCGTGCAGAACCAAATCTTTAGTGAAGCTTTCAACAAGTTCTTTCTCTCACCCTCTCTCTCGCACTTTTTTTCGATGCAAGGGGCAGTGTTGAGATTTTGTTACCTAGTGGCTACACAAGCCAGGAAGTACCAATGACCGAATTTGGTAAATAAACATTTTTTTACAATTATTATTTGAACATATATGAGTGTTTGTGTATAAATACACAAACACTACACACATGCTTTCAATTGTGTAAGGAAGTTCAGTTAACACTAGCAACATGCTTTGTAGTGTGTACGTGCTTTGTCTCTAGGGGCCACCGTATATATTTATCTATAAACATATATAAATAAAACCACTTTTTTTTTTTGCATTAGTAATTCCTTTTGTGCATAATTTTATATTGTTGTTAATAATAAATTAATTAAAGTAACAAAACAACCTGAAGTGCCTGTTGGCTATTGGAAGCTCGACTCACTTTTTAGTGAGTCGAGCTGAATGAGCCGGTTCTCTAAAAAGAGTCAGAATTTCCCATCACTAGTGTGGATAAGAGAAACTCTAAAACAAAATTCAAACTTCAATGTATATTGTTGAGTCATATTACTTAGGAAAAAGAACAGCTCCGAGAAATCATTAAAAGCTCCAAATTACCATAACATTCACGTCCATGATGAGTGCATCTTAATTTCTCACCACATCTGCACACATTTCAAGAAATCTCTGATCTTGTTTACCAGAGTTGCCAGCAAAAAATAAATAAAAAATATGGGGAGGCGAAAGACTTTGCACAGTAACGATATCTTCTGTGCATTAAATGTCTCATCACTTTTACAATATTATATGTGTAGTTCATGGCTGCACATTGGACCCATTGGACAATTTATTGCACATATTGCACATATATCTATCCTGTAAGGTTTTTCCCTCCTGTTAAACATTCTCTGGCCCTCAAGCATAAAATACAATATCTCATCATTACTATTTTCTTTAACCAGGCGTCTGGTCCAATGTTTCTTCCACTTGTTCTTACTTTTAGCTCCACCCAGTTGGCACAAACTGTGTCAATAACCTAACAGGCCTGTGTAAACCAATCACATCATGGGTATGACCGCAGTGCCCAATGAGAATAGCGCAAACCTATAGCCCCGCCGTCACGCGGTAGGTTGCATCGTACAGAAAGTCACCTCGTCGTGTCAGAGTGGGAGAAGCTACTGACAGTTAGCACCATTAGCAGCGGTCACAGTACCACCGGGAGAAGGTCGACAGCAGGATCCTCTCTGAGCCGTATCTAAATCTCACAAACAGCTTTTAAAGGTCTCTAGCTACTCGCCGAGCTAACAGTTTTGCGAGCTTGCTACTAAGTTTCCGCTCATCTCTCGCATTCATTATCAACACCTTCATCATGGCTGCGCTCAGAGCGTCCTATCACAGGATTTTGGACAGGATCGAGCACATGCTGCCCGCCAAGCTGAGACCTGTGTACAACCACCCGGCAGGTAAGACACAGTTGACCGTAATGAGTTTGTTTGGTATTGGGAGGTGGGTGACCGCAGCCGCCCTGTCCAGCCGTGATATGGGATGAGGATGCACTGACCTTTCTGCACCGCATCGTTCAGGGATCACAGTAGCAGCTCTTGCGCTGATGCCCGAGCTGCATGAAATTAATTGTGTTTGCGCTGTCAGTGTAATCTGTAACCTTCCGGGATAACGCGGGCTGAGCCAAGAACCTCGGTCTGTGGAGGAAGCCAAACCCACTTTCATTCAGTTTATCGAGTTCTGGGTGTTTAACTGTGCATTTCAATCAGTCCTTTATCACTAAACTATGTAGTCGCATGCTCGGTTTGATAAGAAAAGTAGTATTGTGCCTCTGGAGAGTGACTATGAATGTAAGCCTGATTGGTTTCATATAGTTGAGGTTGGCTAAACAGAAGTTCATGCTGCTTCCTGGTCGTTTTTGTAACTTGGTTTTGAATAAATTAAGCCCAACTTGCACAAAAACTGATTTTCTTCTTTTGGTGGAAGGTCAAAATCTGTTTGATTGCAGAAGTAAAAAACCCGTTATGCTCTCTGCTACTTTTTTCTGTTCAGGCTTTACTTCTGTTATTTATCTACTTAACTGTGAATCACAGATATGTTCCATTCCATCTGAAATCAGAAATGCTGACTTCCAAGATGGAAGTTTCAGCTGGAATGCCCTCCAGTCAACTTAAAAGGTTGGCCTAATTTATGGTCCACCATTACAACAGTGGACAAAAAAATTAGTAAAACTTGGCTTGTGTACTGTAAGTTTTGTGTGTTTGTGACTTAATACACAGGGAACAGACCAAGCTCTATCTATGAACGTACACCAGCTAGTGATGAATGAATTGCTCTACCTCGCAGGGTAGAAAAACAGATCCTCGCTTTTCCGGCTTTACAACTGGCAAGTTTTAAACTCAGGAGTGACATCATGCTCTGGCATAAAACTTCCGAGATAAATGGAACAGTGACCATGTCCTCCCAGCAGCTTGTTTGGCACTGCCTCAAAGAATAAGCAGCTGTCTCAACGTAATCCAGTTGCAGCCAGCTGTTTCAGCAGCACCTCCTTATTTCAGTGCCGAATCTGCATACTTACTCTTAAAATGTAATGCATGAGTTGCATGCATCAGGGCAGCTAAAGACCCTGTGGATTACTTCTATTTTTGAATGCGGTGTCCTCTTGTTACTGCTGCACATCAGCTGAGCTTGGATAAAGTGGGTAATGTTTCTATTTGGTGACACCCCTCCTTCTTTGTGCTCAGGTATCCTGGATATGATCCTTGCTAAATCTGCAAATAAAACTGTTCTAACTTACTTTTTTGTGTGCCTGGTATCAAGCACAGCAGGGACACAAACACAGCTCACTTCAATCAAATCTATGCTCTGCACAGCTGAAATCCAGATTTTGGCACCCACTTGTTTTGTCCCCCGACAAATTTGCCACACAGCTGACTTAAAGGCCGTGCTGAGAAAGTTGGAGGCAACAGTTTGTTCTTAAAGGGATTTGTTGGGGACAACATGATCACTGTTGTTTGTTTTTATCATGCTGGCTAACCTCTCAGAACAGACTAGATTTCCAGGAGCGTGGCCGTGCGGCACCTACACTGAGAAGAGTGAAGTAGGAGGTGTAGAATAAACTTGACTACTTTTAGATGCTCGATTATTCTTCTCAAGGGGACCCCCATAATTGGTAGCTCCATATTTCTATTTGACAGTTTTGATGTTTTTTGTTGTTTGTTTCTTTGTTTTTATTTTTAACGATTTAAAGATGACGATAAACTAAATAAAACCAGACCCAATAACAAATTTGGCCATGTCTATATCATCCTTATCCAGTGAGTTGCAATGCACACTGAACATTTCTGGTATTTGTGCACTCACCTCCCACTTTCCCTCATGAAGGTATATTTTGTCACTATTTATCAGTCAGGGTAGTATAAATACAGAAGAATCGCCTACGAGTATAACACACTATAATTAAGCAGCAATGCCCTTCAGAACACTGTGCTAAAATCTTTAGCTCTCATTTGAAGCACAAACTAAACTGAAGGTGTTTCTCGTAAGTCTTGCTTATGTATTGAGGACATTTGATATTATCTAAAGGGATCTTGGTTAAGGAGTAACTAGTGTCACTGGTGATACTGGTCTTAGATTTGTCTGAGAAAGGGTACTGGAGCTCCGGGGTTGTCAAGGACAACTTTTCTGATCAGGTATGAAGGGGTGGAGACAAAAGCCAACTCCCTCAAAGATGATTGGCAGCCACAAACGCTCTAGTTTCTGTTTTGCCCCGCAGCGCTGCCAGGAATGCTGATTCCAGACCAGCAGCTTTTCTTCACTGTGCTGTGGCTAATTAAGTCTTTGTGAATCTCCTCCCAGTGGCTCACAGACACCGAGTGTCTGATCTGTGACACTCAGATCCATTGGTGTGTTTTTGATTTGAGCTTTTCACTCTTCCAGAGCTTGGATGTCTTAAGCAGGAAAAACTCAGTGAGCTCAAATACGAGCATTATATTTTGAGTGTTAACAGCCAGTGCTGTGATGTCCTGATCATCTGATGTTTTCTGTTGCTGCTTTCCAGTTCTGATGTAATAACGCCACGATTGCATCAGGGTTGTTGAGGTGGTGTTTGTTTGACAGGAGTTCAAAGGTGTAAAGGTATTGCTATTTAAAAAAAACAACAAAAAAACTGCTGCAATGTTATCACATGGTCTTTTATTACATTAAGGACGGCAGCTAGTTGTTGCTTTCAGAATCTATTAATGTGCTGATCTCTGAATTGGTTTTGTTTATAAAGTGACATTTAAACTTGATAACTGACCACCCAAAATATATGAAAGTATAGAAACAGAACATTTTATTATCAATCCTCTTGACACAAATGATCTTTTTGTGAGCACAGAGAGTAAAAGTCAGCTTCACAGTATTTTCCTGTGGATAAAATGTGTAACGGTGATACTGTTGGTGATGAAAATCTCCAGACACCCCTCAATACAATGTTATTGCAGTACTTCTCTCCAGTTACAAGGTTCTTGTGGTCTCTAACATTTTGCAATATGTTGAGTACTGCAGTAACTCATAGTGAGTTTAACAATTTTTGTTAAATGCAAATTGTGTCGATCAGCCTGCAACTGAAGGGGGTCAAGTTGGCAATTACATGCAGTTTGTTTCTGATAATACAGCAGTTAACTGCGATAAATCGTCAAACATCCCATATCTCCTGCTGACTGCATAGATAGAAATTCATATTGACCACTGCATTTACGCTCAGCAGCCTTCCTCTTCTCTTGAAACATAAACAGAATGCAACTAGCTGGCAGCCAGTTGATGCTAGCAGGAACGTATTCAGAGTGATGGCAACATGTTAGCAGTTTCTGCATTTATAAATTAGACAGCGATTATTTGCAAACATTTGAAAATCAGAGTGGATTGAGCTGACAGCATCCTGCCTGAAAAAAGGCGACCTGTGCAATCGCCTTGCAGTCAGGAGTAGTCGTGAGTGTGCGATGTCCTCAAGCTCTGGCCAACCAGCAACCACTTATGCCAGCATAAGTGTCATATGTTTGCTTATTTAATACAAGTCTGCTCAATTAATAGGAGGGTGGTACACGAGATGATGCAGTATCACTACCAAAATATAACCCTTCTGTGCTGTAGCTATTTATTTATGTGTTTTTATTTTCCACCCCTCAACCACCAGTTTCTAAATGAGCTCAAACCTGGGTTGTCATTGTATAATTTTCTATAAGAGAAACAGCCTTCATATCAGGAGCTTTTATTTACCCTCAAATGTATTGTGTATGGTTAATACTGTGGGAAAGCTGGTTACCTCTGGAAAACTAAACGGTGTGATTTTATGTTTTGTTTTTTCTGTAGGTCCGAAAACTGTTTTCTTCTGGGCCCCAGTGTTTAAATGGGTAAGTGCACATTCACCCAGCTCGTAAGCCACAGCATAAAGTGCAGACAGACTTTAAAAATATGATTTATTTAAAACTACTACCAAGCATGCCTTTATCTGCACCTCATCAGCAGACAGTCAGCAGTTAAGCCTCTTACCCTGTAGCTCGCACATTATCTGACACAAGTAGTTCCCTTGTTAACTCTTGACTCCTTCGGATGAAATTTGTCACACGTGGCAGTTCTGTCAATAAGAAGATTGCGTTATTTGGATGTTTTTTGTTTGTTTTTGTTTTTTATGGGTCTATAGTTATTCCAGAATATTTTATTTTTTAAAAACCTGTCACTACCACTGTGTGATTATTGGGATTCTCATTTAAAACTGACTGATCATTAATGGAGTAAATACATCAGTCTCTTGTCTACAGGGTCTGGTTGGAGCTGGTTTGGCTGATATGACTCGACCAGCAGACAAACTCAGTACCTCTCAGTCTGCAGTGCTGACGGCCACAGGTGAGACGACACCGAAACTCAAGTCGACTTCATAATGTGTCATTTTGGAATAAACGCGTACGTACATCCAAATGGGTTTTGTGCGAGACAATGGACAGTTTAATGGAAAAGTTTCCCTGGTAAGTCTTTCTCTGGGGCTTTTGCAGAATATTCCCCTTGGGCAGAGTTCACAGCTGGTCGACACCTTTGAGTCTTTTTCTTAATTTAGGGTTTTCAGTGAGTAAAAGGTTAACTGGAAACTTAATCCTGGTTTAAACTTTGAAAGAGGTAATGCATAGTTTGTAGTTCTTAAGCTCTGCCTTGAGTTGTTGTTGTACATTTCACATCTCGTTACTTGATCTCTGTTCAGTTTTCAGGTTTTTCCATATTCATTTTTTATTTTATTTTATTTTTTAACCAATCTGTGTTAAAGGTCGCCTGTTTTGTTCCACTTTTTTTGCACTATGTCTCTTCAAACAAATCTTATCTGCGACTCTTTGGCCAAAACACAGACTCTGTCCTGAGGAGTGACCCTGGTGTACCATCAGTGTGCGTCACGTTCACTCCTCCTGTTCTGTTTCTCCATCAGGGCTCATCTGGTCCAGATATTCGTTGGTTATCATCCCGAAAAACTGGAACCTGTTTGCTGTCAACTTCTTTGTCGGCAGTGCCGGAGCCTCACAGCTTTACAGGATCTGGAGGTGTGTGAATGCACAGTAAATGATGTTTCTGCCAGTGGGTTACATGAGCTCATAATCACTGTTAGAAGCATTTTAAAGATTAGTTATAATAAGGAATGCAAGATAATTGCACAGTAGCCTTATGTAGAGTGCTTATTTCTTAATCATTGCTGATATGAAATCATGCAGGCACGTTAATGTTTGACCCTAGAGTGCTGTAGCTATAGTGAATGTATAATGTAGTGTAGTCTTCATGTGTGCTTTGCTTTCTAGTGTCAGCTGAACTCTATCAGAGGAGAGTTCAATTACAACAAGTCAATATTTGTTAAGACCACCTTTATTCTTCAACACACACTGAACTCTTTGACAGCTTTCTTCTCATTTATCTAAGTAGTCTTCAGGAATAGTTCCCCAGGCTTTGTGAAGGATATTCAAATCTCTTCTTTGGACTGGGGAGGCCAGTCTGTACTTTTCTGCACTGTTATTAAATTTTGGCAAGATCTCCAGCAAAAACCTGTCTCAACAATGTTGAAAGACCTTCACAAAGTCTGGAGAACTATTGCTCAACAGGACTTAAAAAAAAAATTACAGGAAAGTTTAGCTCATCGGAAACAAAAGTTTTTAAAAAATGACTTGATTTGAGACTTTTGCACAGTAGTGTATCAGTCAAGTGATTCTTGGAATTCAGTTTTGCTACACAAACTAGTCCCTTCGCTGAGATGAGTTGCTGCTAAGTATTCATACCACTAGATTTTTAGTGTTTTAGTGAACATAGCTTCCCGGCACATCCACAATATCCCAGTTCAAGCCCAAGAGGAGACACGAAAGCCAGTCGGGGGGGGGGATCACAAGCTATTGCACTCTTAGTGATGGTCCCATACCTGGACAAATGGGAGGGTTGTGTGAGGAAGGCATCCGCCGTTGAATCGGTGGATCCTTACTCTGTGGTACTCCCTTGGGAAATAAGGGAGCAGCTGAAAGTATCTTTATTTTTATTCTAGAACTCTACCAAAGTAGCTTTGCACGATTTCTATATTTTATTTATTATTATTTCACGTTCAGCTAGTACTTGATGCAGCACATCAGTTCATGGTCTCTCTGAAAGTTTGAGTTCCTGTCTCTTTAAGCCCCACTTTCATCTGATTGGTCAGTTTCTTCAGCAGACATCTGAGCTCACTGGGATTATTTTATAGTCCTTATCTGAAGCTTTGGCCATAGTTAACATGGAACACTATTTTTAGTTAAGAGGCAATTTAAACAATGTTTTTGTTTTGTTTGTTTGTTTGTTTTTAATCATCTAACAGGTACGAGCAAGATAAGAAGGCGGAGGCCAAACAGGCTGCGGAGTCCTGAGTGTATCGACGCTCCATTGCAGCGGACTAAAAGGGAGACTTCTTATCATCTCGACATCACACCATGCTGTTTCCATAACATCCATGCCATAATAACCATTGTTCTACCACATTAAGCCTGTTGTCCCTGTTGGAAATATGCACTTTTCTTTAAGTTTCACATTTCCTCAGGGTGTACTGAGGGAGGGAAGGAAAACAAAGCTTTTTTTTGTTTTTGTTTTTAAACTGTAGTCAACACACGCTCAAGAATGGTCATCAACGCACAAATACTTCTTGTTCAACACGTTCTGTGATTGTACAGTGTTTAATTTAAGTTCATGCTTTATATCTTGCACACTTGCTGGGAGGTCTTTGCCTTTTCCATCATCGATTTTTCAGGTGTAGCAATCAGTACCTCAGGCAGACAATTCCCAAAAGAACGAAACATGTAACTCTTAGAGTTGTGTTGAACATGGTTTAAGGAATGTGTCCAGATGAAATTAAGGATGTCATCGCACTTAACCTTTTGATTTATTTATAATTTGATCATCGTGTCCCGCTTGAGATCATTAAATTGTCATTGATTACCGTGTAACGATTTCTTCCATTTAATGACTTTAAATCTGTGTGAACTCAAGTTGATTTATGAATTACTTGATTAAAAATTTGCAGTCAAAACTGTATAGGAAGATACTGTTATTTTCTAATTGTGTTTCAGGAATACTTACCTAATGCAACATATTTAACCTCTGAAGCCTTGTCTTGATTGGTAGCACGTACTGACACACTAACAGCGCTCTATTATCAAAATTGTTGTTCTGATGAAGGTGTTTTATAGTTTTTGTGTAACAATAATTATTTGAGGTCTTCCCATTGTATAAATTAACCCCTGACTAATTTAGCAATAATTAGTGCTAACAATTAATTAGAAGACTGTTTGAACAAATGGCACTTTTGAGGATTGATCGTTATGGCTCTGTGATGACTAATGCTAATAAATATGGTTTGATGCCTACAGCTGATTTAAATTTTTAGCATTGACTAAGAATAATAAGAGATCAACATTTTTCCGCACTAACATCGCTTCACTTATTACAGTGCTCCTCTAAGAACAGCTGGAATGATGGGATCCACCATTTGTGGAGGAATGTATATTTCAGGGGCCACTGTATTAGGTATACCTGTTCAACTGCTCATCTAATCAGCCAATCACATGGCTAATTCTCAGTCCATTTTGGCATGTAAACATGGCCGACCTCACGAAGTTCAAACTGAGCATCACAATTTGGAAGAAAGGTGATTTAAGTGACTGTAAAGGAGGCGTGGTTTATTGAGTGCTAATCTACTGGCAATTTTCCTCAACCACCTCCAAGTTTTCGAAAGAAAATACCCAGTGAGCAGCAGTTCCCTGGGTGAAAATGCCTTTTTGATGTCAAAGGCGAATGGCCAGACTGCTTCCAGAAGGCAACAATAATTCAAATGAAACTCAAACAGCGTGACTAAAATTGGATGATAGACGACTGGAAACCTTTTTCTTAGCCTGCTGTGTCTTGATTTCTGCTGCAACATCCAGATAGTAGGGTCAATTTTGCTTAAACGACCTGAAAGCATGCATCCACCATGCCTTATATCCACACTTCTGGCTTTTGATGGTGTGATGGACCCCTCAGTACCAAGTGATCACTCTTTATAGCACCTGAGTAGTGTTGCTGACCATGTCTGTCCCTATATGACCACAGTGTGTCCACCTGGCTGCCTCCAGCAGGATAACACTCGACGTCAGGAAGCTCAAATCGTGTCACAGTCACTAGACCTCAATCCAACACAAGAGTTGCATCATGGACGAATCTGCAGCAACTGTTTGACACTATCATATCAGCACGGACCAAAATGTCAGAGGAATGCTTCCAGCTCCAGTTCTAGAGACAAAATGAGATCCAACTATTTCTGTGTACCTAAATAAACTGTTTTCCGTTACTCAGGCAGCTCACTTTCAAGGCAAAAGATCACCCAGCATGAACATTTCCTTTTTCCACGTCTTTAACAGTAAAAAAATGTTTTGCTTATGTGAAAGTTCAGCTTTAAAGTATCACTTAAACCTAGTAAGCACTGAGGATCTTTGTTTCACATGATTAACATTTATTGAATAATAATTAAACTAATCAAAATAACCATAGCTTAATTATTACAAAAGCAGCAGCCATAAAAACTTGCAAATGTCCTTCAAACACTTGATCAGTCACTGAATCATTTCTGAGTCACCAGGAAGAGCTTTGCTCCATTTGTTTCTCTGACTGCATAAAGGTGTGAGCTGGGGTCATCAGTATAAACACCTTTAATTGCATAAGATGAGCTCAGGTTGAGAGGTGATAAAGATGAAACAAAAACTCCCCCTTCTGTTTACACTGTGAACTACAACTCTGTAACAGCTTCGGAGCCGTGTGATGAAAGATTGAAGAAAAAAAAACGTTTAGCTCTGTTTAAAGGCAAAGTTCTGTGTGGACAGCATTCAGTGATCTGAAAGAGATCACACACCCTGCACCACCGGAGCCACTTTAGATCCCGCTCACCTGTGTTATTAGGCGTTTACAAAGGCCAGAGTAGGATGGCTATGAGGTCATTTAACTTTTTTGCCATTCAAAACAGGCTCAACAAATCTAATGAGTGAGGCAAGCCAAGTGCTAATCTTACTTAACATGTCTTTTCAGTTCATATCAGGTTATTTGAGGTAAATAATCTGAACATAATCTTATGTCTGTGTAGGTTATCAGTCATCCAGATCACAGTAGTCTCAGGAGCTTGGAAAGAAAGCAACTGGACTTTAAAGTTTAGTGAAGATGTTTTTGGGATTGAAGTAGCCTCATGGATGGAGGTGAAATTTTTTTCACAAAACAAAGTCCTTTCCTTCAAAGCTCCTGAGACTACCTGAACAGATTGTTTGAAATGAAGCAGGAACAGTGGTAGTCCTGACAATAGCTCTGTTCCAATTATGCACCACTAAACCTAATGAGATCATTACTGCTATTTGTATTTACACCCATGTCTTTCCTGTTACAGGTTAACCTGGCTGCTGGGGTAAAAGCTTTAGCACCATCCTGACACCACAAGCTACTTTCAGCTGTCCAGTTATTTCCCAGGAGTCACCCAGTTAATGCTGAATGTCCTTCCTGCCACAACACCAAAAGAGTTTGTCCACGACACTATGATGGTCCCGTCATATTGAAACAAAATATTCAAATACTGTAATTCATGGAACTTGGAAATGAAGCTCATTGTCACAAAAATAAATTTAAATACATAAACGTTGGGCTGCCTGGGCTTCAGTAAAGTCGTCAAATAAATACGAAAATCAGAGCATAAATGTTGGTCAACCAAAATTTTTATTCACAACCATAAACAGCGAGTCAGGTTTAGCGTTTTCCACCGACGCGAGGTGCGCTGACCTTCATGGGCTTGGCGATCTTGGGTTTCTGTGCAGCCTTAGCAGCGGCCTATGGGAGAAGAAAATCAACTAAGTTCTTGCACAAAGAAAAACTTTGAATTAAGTTGCTGAATAATCGAGTGAAGCCTGAAGAGCAAGCAGTGGGAAACTAAAAACTTGTTTTGACATCTTATTGAATAACTTCAACACAGAGCACTGGCTCTTACCTTTGCAGGTGCTGCAGCGGGCTTCTTGGCAGCCTGCTTTGCCTTCTTGGCCTCCTTGGCAGCTCTGAGAGAACAAAGAGAACCAAATTTAGTCCAAACCAATCAAAGTGACCAAAAAAATTAAAAACAACAACAATTTCTTTATATAATTTTTTAATGTATGTATTTGAATACTTTATTTTTAACTTGAGCATTGGTTGCTCCTCATGACCTCAGCCCTTTTTGCGCCACTCACTGTGAGAAACATGCTTTATAATCGTATTTTATTATGACTGGAATAACAAAGTGAACTTTAAGTGCTATGAAAATGTTCACTGTAGTAATTATTTACAGTGACTGATTACACTGACAGGCTGATCAGAAGCTGTTTTTACTGAATATTTCCAATCAATGATTAAGTGTTGCAACTCTAAAGGCTTCCTCATTTTCTTGGACTAGAATACCAACAACTTTAAAAAAAACAATCTAAAGACGGTGGCAGCATCAGTATTTTCTTGTGTTTAATAACATTAAGCTTAAATACAGCATGTTTGTGATCAGTTCAGGTTCATAGGTGCAGCTGTTCTCTCATGCAGGAGTTCATATTGGGGGTTTTCTGACTGTTTGGTGAGTGTTTAAAGGACCAGAAGCATTCAGAGACTTTTGCTAATATCACTCAGTAATGTTAGATGTGTTCTTTGATGATAAAACTAATCCTGAAGTAATGAATATCAGGAATTTCAGTGTCTAGTGTAGCAGCAGAGAGAGGGCTCAGTCTGCAGAATAGAATTAAATCAGGAAGTGCTGCAACACCCTGTAATTCACTTTATTTTAATTATGCTGAAGCAAGCCCCAGATTAATGTTCACTCAGATTATATTTGACTGCTGTGTTTGTGTATCAGCTAAGCCTGCAGGGGGAAACAAAGAAAATCATTTGTTTCTTGCTGTGTTACTATGAAAAGTCCCTGCAGTCAGCGTTTCAATGCCCTCATAAAGGCACTCTCCTGTTTTATTAAATTCTAGTTTTTTTAATGAAAACTAACACAATTAAATCTCATTCTTAAAAATATGAAACCAATAAAATGCCCAATGCAACCTCTGGGCAAGTAGGCCAATATCGTCTACACTGGATTCTAATCCAACCCTTCTTTATTCCGAATAATACTCTGACACAATTTTATCTACTTCAAGATCACAAGACTAAAAAAAAAAAAAAAAGAAAAAAGAAAAAAAAGAGCGATGCACAGGGTACTTTGTCCTCTTACCTGATGGCCTGCTCCCTCTGGGCCTTGCGGACCTCGGGCTTCTGGTTCCTCTTGGCCATGATCTCAGCCAGGGAGGCGCCAGTGATGGCCCTCGTGAATTTCACTGCACGGCGGGTACGCTTCTTTGCCACCTCTTCCTGTTAAAAAAATGCAATACATTGGTTTACTTAAAAAAATAATGGTTTTTCATGTTCACATGAAGAATAGAAGACAAACCTGTTAATCACAAAGAAATGAGTGGCTAATCTATCTGAAAGGAAATGTGTCTACATATTTACTCTAGTCAACACCTCCAAAGGGGTGGTTGCAGTCATAAATGAACAGTTTTTAACCAATTTTCTCAAACTGCCATCTAAGGCATGGCAAAATCAGTATTAAAGCATGTGTCTAGCCATCCAACAAGTCAGTTTTGCGTGTTTTCTGATGCATCACCATCCATAGGAACCGTAACAGTCAACAGCTGTAACCATGAAAATCTAAAAACCTGAGATAAATTGAGTAAAATACGTTGTCATGCTACAGCAATGGTGAGTAACAGAAGTTTTAATAACTCAGCATATTGTAAACAAAACACATTTCTTATGTTTGCCTTTAAATTTCACAAAGCTAACACCAAATCCTTGAACTACTTTAACAGGACTACACACAATCCATCCACAGGTAGCAACTGTCAGCATGTTGGAGAGTTTGGAGGCTGACCGATGAGAATATGTCTGCAAAGACGTCAAAGGCCAGTACTATGATCTCCAGATATTCTGTGGCTGGAGGTGTGGAGTGAGCGCTGCTGCTCAGTCTGCAAAACACAGTTGAGCAACAACACGTAACACGGACCAACACCGTGCACACCATCCACCCGCAGCCAGTCTGATGTATAAATTGGAGCTTGAGTAAATGTGACGATCTACTTTTATATCTAATAGCTAATATTAGTTTATCCGTTTCACAAATAGCCAGTATCAACACAGCAATTAACTGCTGGACCCACAAAGTCTGTCTGCCATGGAAAAATAGTAGCTACATTTTCACTTCAGTCTCCTTGTAAACAAATATAAATGATGAACTCATATACAGGATTGTACTTACAGACTGGCCCTTCTTGTGCTTGCGTCTGTACAGCACAGT